ATCTTGAGACAGTTAAATAATTACTGCTCTCTACCTACATCCTGACAACTTTCCAGTTCTCAAGTGAAATCATGACGTTAATTACTGTTCAAAAAAGAAAAATACTCTTTGATTACTCAGGAAAGTAGGTAATCCAACTTGTTGGTAGTCATTTTACTACAGTAAGTCCTTGACTTGCTAATGAGTTCCGTTCTGGGAGAATGTTAAGCTGGATTCATTTGTAAGTCTGACAAAGTGAGCCTTACACATCTTTGTAACAGATATAAGCATTAACCAAACACACACACAAATATTATAAACAAATAAACTTTTCACTTTTAGGCACAGTAAGCACACAGCAACACAACTGTGACAGTGTCTGGTAGACACATGTGAGCTACTTCTGCAATTTGTTCACATCTACCAATGTTGTAATGTGATGTTCATTTGTATCTGTGAAAGTGTTCGTAAGTTGAGGACTTATTGTATTGTGATTATTATGTGGCATTATTAACAGATTCCTTTTGAAAGCTTTCGTCTCTTCAGGAGGCCAGAATCCAGTGATACAGATTGCCCATGTTCCCATGCAGGACTGTATCAAATACCTCAGAGAACAGCTCTTCTGAACGGATCACAGAACCTGCAGTCAGAACCTGGAGCCGCCGCTTGCAGCCTGCTCACATGGCCAGCACTCAGCACTCTGCTCTCGGTCATGCTGGTGGACACTATCATACCTCAGTGGTAGCAGATGACACCTGTGGGTGCCTGGAAGGGCTTTGCTTTGTCTCCTGCCACATTTAACTGCCTAGCTTCAGAACACATACTGCTTTTCTCTCTTCTTTGGGCTCATTCATTTCTCCTAAAAAACCACATAGAATCCCTGTAAAATTGCTACAGCCACCCTGTGCCCTCTCCCCTAGGAAAAGGGTGTCCAAGCTTCAAGTATCTGTCTCACACCTCATCTGGCTCAATGCACGCTCATGCATGTGAATGCATTTGTGTGCTTTCCATCCTGTTCACCTGTCGTTGTCAGCTCATTTCCAGGAGCCCTTGGAGGGAGTGGTAAGCTACCCTGTGCCCATACCATTCCTGCATAGTCTTTGTCACCACGGCCTAAAGGCAGGTGCCATCACTACTCTCTTTTATAGATGTAGCTGCTCTGTTTTGGTAGTGGCTCATCAAATGTAGGTAAACTGAAGAGTAATTGCTGATGGATAACAGCCTGCAATAATCATTAGGCTAACCTATCCGCAACTTGACAGTTAGCTGGTCTTGACTTACATACATGGCTGTTTCCTACTAAGCGTGGAGCTCCTCTTTGGCCCTGTTCCCTGTATATCTACAACCAGAAAAAACAGCACACTCCTCCCCATGGTCATGCTTGACAGTGATCTGAAGTTTTACCGCAGGATTCTCTTTATCTCAGCAGAGCCTCGGTTCTGTGTCTTTCTGAGACAACACCATCTTTGCTGTATACAACTGTTCTCTGGGTGATGACACTGGCTGTAATACATTTTGCTTGTGTAGACCAGTCAAGGGCTTCAAAAGAGGTGAAATCAAGAATATTGTGTTTTTCCATAGCTTTAAGTCATATAGGATGTCCTAAAGCCAAAGGTGAAAGAAAAAAAGCATTTGGAATTGAAAATGATTTAAATGTGGCAGTTCCTAGCATTTCTGGGATCCTGTCATGTCTAGTTTGGACTGGGCCTCTGATTCTGTATCTCTCTAACCTGAATCAGTCTAAGCAACAGCTTGATAGAAGAGGTACCGTACCAAGAGTCTACCTCACTCAGCACAACTGACAGTCTGTGCACCAGAGCTCAGTGAGACCAGAAGATTTTGTCTGTTTCTCTCTAGAAGAGGGTGCCACTGTGTCTCTCAGTGTAAGATATTTGTGATGAAAATAACTTATAGGCTAATCCAAAGCTATGTAAGGCAAATACTCACAGAAAGGAACAGAATTTGTTTTTAAGGTGGGAATATTTTTAGTTTGCTGGAGATTTTTATTTCAAAATCTCCAAATTCAACAATTCCTCAGCCTCTGTAAACTTTCAAATGGAAAGCTCCAATATTTAGAGTAAATAATGTCTAAGCTTCTCCTTCACAGCAAGTTTTTTTCTCCCCTGTCCTAAGAGTGTTATATCCTGGCAAACGGAACACAGAACCCCTTTGTAGTACAGCTATCACATCGTGCTGCGCAGAGTGTGGTGCTAATGAGGTTACTGCCCAACAGAAGCACAGAAGGACATTGAAACAGGAAAATGCCCTGACAAACGTGTTGACCAAAGGATGCCAACAACTCTCCCAGGGTCCTGTCCGAAATTCAAGCACTTAAAACAGTAAAAATGAACCTTAGTGTATGTGAAAAATCATAACATTGAAACATAAGTCCATTTATCTTTTAACTATTTTTCTAGTTCTCTTCCAAAATTCTGCTGGTTATTAAAACACTGCTGTGTAAATAAAAATGTTCTGCTTTATAGCTTAGCTCCTATTTCTTGTCCTTACAATATAATAATGTCATTGTCTGTTATATCACACTCACTCTTAAAGTAATAAGGTTTGATTTGAAGGATCCTACACAGCTCAGGGATGAGGGCTGTTTGCAGCAGGAGGAGGTGGAGGATGGGGGTCAAAGGCTGGACTAGGAACTAGAAGAGGACCAAGAAGGCCTCCCAGAGTTCTGCATCCTCCATGACACAGTGATGAAGCAGAGCTCTCCATAAGCATCCTGCTATCTGCTGAGTGGGTTCAAGGTTGAGCTGTCCATTGATACAACTGGGAACATATGACTTCAGCAAAGCCATTCCAATCCCCAGACTGGGAACACAGAGATACAAACACAGTTCGTTAGGCATGTATTCTCTGCCTTGATGAATCAGTGCCCACTTCTACATCTCTTTGGAGACAGTCATAATTAATTGCTTTATGTACCTATGAATCCTGAGACATCAGGACCACCAAAACTGAAAGCTTATAGAACTCTATAAAATGGCACAACTTACACAGATAAAACATACATATGCTATAATTAGGATCGCAGGCTGTAGGAGCTGGAACTGGCCCTAGAAGTAATTTACTCATCCCTCTTGCTGTACAGCTGAGCCTGAGTAGCTTTTCCAAATGTTATTCCTCCAGGTAATGGCTGGCCTGGAAGCAAACCCACTGCTTTTGCCACCAGAACAGGGTTCAGCATGACACACTGTTCAAACATGCTCAGCAGCCTGCCCTATCAGAAAGTAATGGGAACAGATTCTATTAGCAAGAGACCTTAAAACAAAATGCCCTGTATCTAATTTCTGTAAATTCAAGTTGAGGGAACATAACTTGGTACATGCATCACTGGCATGAAAAAGGCAAAGGGAACTATGTAAACTTGGATCCAATTCTAAAAGACTTTAATTTTTTTAAAAAACCCTGCATATAGAAGATTAATAAGCCTGTGTACAATGTAGAAGATTAAACTTGGTCAATATTTTTTCTTCATCTCATCTCTTGAACTAGGAGTGAGAAATTCCTGTATAAAAATAGTAACTTTTCCTGCAGTGATAGTATATTATGTTGGAAATAAAGAGATATGGTTCTGTTCTGGGCTCTGCCATTAATTCATAGAGATCCCCTAACTTTCTGAGCCAAAGGTGTCTGATCTATAAACTGCAGTGACTGTTTTTAGAAAGTGGCATGAAGAGCCGCAGAAGGTGGGTGAAAGTGATGGTGCTCGGGGAGCTGATGCGGCTCAGAGGCTCTGTGCTTCCCACCCCAGCTGCAATTGGCGGTTTCGCTCTGACAGGATTCTGCTATCAGGTGAACAGGCAGGTTCCTGTTTGAAGAATAAGTTACATGGCTAAGGCTTCAAAACCACTAGAAAGCTGAAAATGCTCCTTTTGTGATGATCACTTCCCAGCCTAAAGCCCTGTGCAGCCACTTTATCCCAGGCTAAGTGCAGACTGGAGAAGGCAGGTGTCCATGCCGCCCCGCCCCTTCTGCAGCCACCCCTCACTACGCTGCCTCTTCCAGACCCAGCGGGCCCTTCCACATGCAGCTCTGCTCTTGTTCCCTTTCCTCCACACCCCAACCCTTAGCTTGGCTAAGCTCTTCACATCTTTCAGAATCCAGCTGAGGTGCAGTCCTCCTACAAATTCTTCTCTAACTTGGAGTGTTTTCTTTTTAACCTTATCTCTTGCACCTGTGTAGTAAAAGATTTATATATGAAGTAATACACTTCTCCTCCAATGATAGTACCTTCTCCTTGCTCCCAGCTAAGCCTGCGGAGGGTTATCATAGTAACTGCACATTACAGAAAAAATACTATTCTATATGGTCTTTCTTCTGGGCTGCAGTTACCTTTTATATTTTGTAATATAGTAGTGCCTAAAAGTTCAGTAAAGACTTATTAAAGGACATTAAAAAAGAAATCTTGAAACTGGCTGAAATATTTAGCTCTAAAAATTCTGAAAAAGCCTTTGATTCTGCAGAGATTGTATCTTATAGGGCTTCTGGTCTTCTGTGAACATCTTAGTTCTAAGTTGTGTTTAGAAATGACTCTCAAAAAGGCTGGCTGAGTGATACGGTGTCTTGAGGCAGGAGGAAGATGAAGCCAGAGAGAGCAACATGCCATTCAAAAGCTGTAAAAATTCCCCTCAAAGAGGGAACTGAAAAATTATTAGGAAATAAAGTTAGGCAGAGGAAGGGTCAGTGTGTAGTTGTAGAACATTTATATACATCAGCATTCTTTCTTTCCTTCTCCATGCACTGGGTTTTCACACTGACAGGTACTGGCAACCTACATGAGAGCAAATCTGGCAAATCCACGCTGCACACATCATACAGAACAACACCAGTTTGGGCTGGGGTGCCTGTGATGGTGCCCTTGCTGTTGCCAGGGGAGACAGATGAGGAAGAGGCCACGGGAGTCTTGCAGGAGCAGAGCAACTCACTCATGGAAGAAGTCAGCAAGGCCTGACTGAGAAGGGGATATTTGATTAGAAACTTCAGTGAATGAGGGAGGAGTCACCCCATACCTGAGGAAAGGATGGTCCAAGAGAAAGCACCCTGGAGGCCAGGCCAAAGGGCAGTACTGGAGAAGTGGGGAGCCCACATGGCTGCAGAAGAGGAGCAAGATGGGGAGGTGGTGGGAGATGAGGCAGAGAAGCTGTCAAGGAGAGTGAGTCCTTCCTCTGAGTGAGGCCTGTGCAAGAAAAAAAGAAGCAAACACAACAGTGTTCAGGCAGGGAAGAAAAGAGCTTATGTTAGCCTTGAACTCATCTTTCTTGGAGAAATGTTCTTTCTGTACAGTGTTCTTGTAGAATCAATCTTTCTCTGTCTCCCCACTCTACATCCCCTGCAAAGCAGATGATCAGCCTGAGAGTCACAGGGCAAAACGGGTCTGCGGGGAATGGACAACTTCTGTGGGGTTCTCAGGGGGAAGCTAATAATTGAGGCTCTCAAATGTCCTTACTTGCCCATGCCTTGACTTAAGAGAACATGATACAAAAAGTCTGAATCATGTTATTATTTAATTGGCGAAAGTAAAGATTAAAAATGTTAAGAGCAGAAGGTTCTAGCACGTGTCACACAAAGTTTGGTCTTCTCTGCACCAGCTGGCATGACAATTCCTTTTCTGGTCCAGGCCCAGCACCATAAGACCTGAAACCATTCACACCAACTTCTGTCCTGGAGAAGGCGCTGGCTTACACATACTTATTATTCCCCATAGCCTCCCATGGTTCTGGCATGGGAGTTCTGATTCCTCAGCTGGTAAAATGTTAGCTCAAGGGAAGGCAAGTGTGAAGGAGAGCTCAAGTGAGGATGGTTATGAATACTCCGAGGGCTGCTCCTCAGGGGAGTGGCATAGTCACAGCATCCCAAGCCCCAGAGACTCTCAGGTACTAAGAAGGGAGTGAAGGACACACTTCTGTCTTAACTTCATGAGTTAAACAGTATTCTATTTCTCAAATGAAAAACAATTATTATGATGACTGAGATTTGGGGCATGAACAATTAAATCTTCAAAGAACTCTTTAGACAGTTGCTTATAAAAGATGCTACTTTTAACAAATGCACATAATAGCTACCCTACCACCAATCATTCTTTAATTCAGGATGTTTTAAGTTATGCATTTTTGGCTGTAGGTATGGTTCACTACACCTGTTTACTACATCTTAGGGAAATTCAGTTTGTCAGTTCCAACCTCCTTCACTATCTTTTCTAGCACATTTTCACTATTCTTTAAAGCAGTACTAAGTGATCCCACCCCCAATTCTAATTTATGATTACAGCACACACATGCAGGTCCCTAACAAACGTGCATGACACACAGGAAAACCTCAGATTCATACCCCTAGAGATGCCAGAAGCTCTCAGCTTTCACTGGAGCAAAGGCCTCTGCCTGAGTGCAGGAGCTGCAGGCCCAGCACTCCATGTGACATGGCTGCCTCCCCAGCAGGCAGTGCGCAGCAAGGCACTCATTAAGCTATTGAGTTTCATTCCAGTAACCGTTCAAGTACATTCTTCATTGTACCATAAAGCATGTTTGTTTGATGCTGGAACTTTGATTTTCCTGCTCCTCCCTTCTATACTCCCACTTCCCCACCCATTTTGGTATTTTTTTCCCATGCTAAAACACTCACAAAAATTCAGCTAATTCTCAATGGGTCTCTTGGTCATTAGTGCAAATTAGTGAGGTTTTACTGAATATGGTCAGATTGGATTTGCCAAGTTCTTTTCCCGTTAAAATTTTAAACCCATGTGTATTTCATGGGAAATCTAATTTGTAGGTTTCGGATTCATTTACACTCAACTCACAAACGTGGTTCTGTGACTGCCTCCATCGCTGATGTTCAAGAAGCCACAGGACCTGGTTTCCCTTCCTTTTAACAAGTTCTTGTTAGAATGTTTGCTTTGAAGTAGGTATTTGGACCATGCTGGAAGCAAACTGAACTAAACCCCAGGAAAATGTAAAGTAAGATTTAAAAACCAAGTTCAAAACAGTTTTTCTTGCCCCAATAATTATAGCTTTTGAAGAAAAATCTCTAAGGATGGAACCATCCATTTAGCCTTTTAAGGATGATGTCACCACCTGCCTTCCCAGTGAGGCTGCATCTCACAAGCTCCTGTCTAGCAGGGCGCCTGCTCTGCATGGCCCCACCCTGTGCCTCAGTCACACCCCTGGCTCTGTTCAGCTGCTGGGCCACCCGCACTGCTCACCATTCCTGCCACAACTGCTGCTGGGATTCTGTAGGTTCCCTTTTCTGCCCGTGGGTGTTCCCCTACTCCTCACTCCTGACTGCTCTCCCTCTCTGGAGTGCCCTGGCTCTGCATGTGTGCTTGGACTGCATCCCAGCAACCACTTCCTGTGTTTCCTGTTTGCCCCTACTTTCTGATGGGGTAGGCTTCTGGTCACCTCATGCTGGATTCCCAATGAGGCTTCCTGGCTGAAGTCACAACTGCAGACCCCCTGCTTCTGTCCCTAGCAGCTGGGCTTCTGTGTGGACCATTCCCTCAGTACCCACAATAGAGCTACTGCTGATCCTGGCTCTGCCCTGTCCCTCTGGATCGCTCTGAATAAAGAGGGACAAATCTCATAAAATCTATATTATCAGTTGCACAGTTGTCTTGTGGTAGGAAGGGCATACTAGTGAGCTGCAATGCCTACGTGAATGGCAGGCAAAGGGCTCTAAGGACAGAACACCTCTTGCAGCTCCAGCTCTGTCCACACATCACTCTCAACATTCACAACAGGTTGATTTGTCTTGCCTGTTATTCTTTTTTTTAAACCTTTAAGAGTGTGTCCTTAGACAAACAGCGGATCTCACCACAAGGGCTGTGGTAGTAGCAAGAAAGCCCTCTTTCTAACTCTTTTTCTGTAGAAGTAACTCCTTCTTGGAGTTCACTTCAAGGGATTCTAGAGGAAAATGTCCAAGGATATTGTTAAATGCTGAGTGACCCACTTCGGCAGGAGTGAATCCATAAATATTAAGGGCCACTAGGAACCCAGTGGGACCAGACAGACTTTATATTGCAGCTGTTCTGAGAAATTTGCAAGTAACTTAGGGACCAGCAGAAGAGGCATGTTGGTGAATGCTCCTGACACGCTCAGATAACGTGGGTGTGTCTGTCTACCTACTGATCTAAATGCAAAGAAATTTAAGTCAATCATGCATGCCCAAGAATGAAAAAGCCCTTTTCCAACCTGCTCTGAAACTAAGACTTTCTCAAAGACTAATGGAGAGAACAGTGCCAGGATCCATTGGAAGATAGGTCATAATTATCTCACAGCCACTGGTTTGGAAATCCTTAGAAAGTATTTTCTGATTGCTAAGGATAGTCACTGATTTTCATCCACTCACTTATCAATTTTTAACAAGAGGTAGGACATGTCAGGACAACATGAAGTTCTCTATGAGATGAGAAAGAATTCTTAATGAGAATAGTACAGATGAGAAACAACATCTCTTCTCCATTCCCTGCCTCCAAAGATAGAAACCAAAGTCCATGTGTGATTATACATAACTACCAAACATCCGTGCCTCATCACCTGCCAATTTTCCTTAAAAAAAACCCCCCAAAACCAATTTTGCCATTTCTTTTTATTTGTCCATGTCCTACCTCTGTTCTTTTCAATTATTTAATTTCAATCTGGCAAATAAAGGTGCTTTCAACAAATAACATAATTTATAAACAGCATCTACTGTTAGAATAGTGTCTCTTTCCTCACAATGTAGCTCTTTTCATTAATATGTATAATAGAATAAGATTTTAAATCATGATCAAAAATAGTTTCATCAGGGCCGGGGATTTAGCTCAGTGGTTCCTTGGTCTGCCTCGAAAGCACAAGGTCCTAAGTTTGATCCCCGGTACCAAAAAAAAAAAAAAAAAGTTTCATCAGAATAGTATGCTCAAGATTTGTGCATTTCACTCTGTGACAAATTTACCTTATTAATGACTGTAACTTACTTTGAAATGTATGCGAAATGGATAGGGGAAGTTTATACTTCAATAATATTGGACTTTTAGAAGTTTTTAATTTTTGGGCCAGGGATTTAGCTCAGTGGTTCTGCCACCTGCCTCGCAAGCGCAAGGTCCCGAGTTCGATCCCTGTTACCGAAAAAACAAAAACAAAGTTTTTAATTTTTATTTTTTGTGGTACTGGGCACTGAATTCAGGGGGCCTCATGCAAGTCCTAAGCAAGGACTCTTACCATGGAGTTATATCACCAGCCCTTTTTTAGACATGGTTGCACTAAGTTGTCCAGACTAGATTTGAACTTGCAACCCTCTTGCCTTAGCTTCCAGAGGAGCTGGGATTATAGGCAGGGGCCACCATACCCAGCTTAAAGCTGGGGGGAAACTTTAACAGTTTTTATAGTGTATTTCCACAGGTTTGTTTTTAAATCAGATCTTGCTCTATTTGAAATAACTGAGCCTTCTTTACTCATTGTAATATGATGACCATTTCTCCAAGCATCAAGCATTTTTAAAACATGATTTTAATGGCTTTATAATATTACAGTGCATAGAAATTATCTTAGTACCTCTTTATGGATAAGATTGTTTCCAAATTTTCACTAATGTACATATAGTGCAGTAAATGCCTTTAAATGGAAATTGTTCACTCTCATTTACATCTACTGGATGGCTAAAGGGTGGGCACAATACACACACACACACACACACACACACACACACACACAGTCCCTGAGACTTCATTTCTCTTGTACACATCAATGGCATCAAAATTATGCTAAATTTGTAGGAAATAGCTTTTGATGTAGACATCAGCTTATCATTTTTAGAGATTTCTATTATCTTCAGTATGTGACTTGTCCACTTTCCTTCTTTAGTAGTTTTGTATTGAACTTCTGGTGTTTTTTCTCTGATATCCAAGGTTCTTTGAATAAAACTGATGTAATTTCTACCTTGGAACCTGATTTTGTTTGTAAATCCCTGCAGTAGCCTAATAGGAGCTGAGTATAGAATTTATGATGATACTATGCTTCTTTTACCTGGCAGGGCATAAAGCAACCATGACCCCAACTAGAAAAGCCCCTTCAGCTCTGAACAAACAGCGGGTCCTTGAGGCTCTTTGCCAGGTATTCTGCTCTAAAAGTTCATTCTAATCTATTCTAAACACTTCATGGTATAAACACTTAGATGTGATCCTCAGTAGTGATTAAATAAGACTAATGG